AAAAAAGGTAAACATGAATTTTACTCATTGTTTTCTTGTGTATGCAAGATTATATGAAATTTTTATTATTTAGATGGGTTGTCTATGCTGCTATGTATCCCTTGCTATTATCTATCCCTTGTGATATGTATTCCTTACGATATACATCCCTTGCGATATATATCCCTTGTGATATGTATCCCTTGCGAAATCTATCCTTTGCCATATCTATTCCTTGCTATATCTGTCCCTTGCAATATCTGTCCCTTGCGATATCTATCCTTGCGATATCTATCCCTTGAGATATGTATCCCTTGCGATATCTATCCTTTGCCATATCTATTCCTTGCTATATCTTTCCCTTGCAATATCTGTCCCTTGCGATATCTATCCCTTGAGATATGTATCCCTTGCGATATCTATCCCTTGCGATATCTATCCCTTGAGATATGTATCTCTTGCGATATCTATTCCTTGCAATATCTGTCCCTTGCGATATCTATCACTTGAGATATGTATCTCTTGCGATATCTATTCCTTGCGATATCTATCCCTTGCGATATCTATCCCTTGAGAATTTGAAGTGTTCTGTTTTCTTCCATATATAGAATCAATTTCACCTTGGAAGCCTTAGAAATAGTTTCACCTGCTTATGATTATTTTATGAATAAGCTGGAAGTACTGACGAAGAAGAATCCACCTTCAATAAAAATCGAGAAACTTGAAACAAACTTCCCTCAATACTTCAAGTATGAAAGAGTAAAAGAGCTGGTATGATCTTAAAGCTTATTGTGCATAGGTTAGCCTGGAGTGACAAGAATACCATTTCATTTTAACGACTTTGATATACTCGTAAGGCAAAAACATTTATTTTAAGTCTTTTCACTCACTAGCATTTTACACATATACATAAAGTACAACGTATTAATATTTTCATAGCAGTAATTTGGCACAGCGGTTGTTACTTGTACATTAAAAAACTTTCTTTTTCTAGGAACTTTGGAAAGTTTATCGGTAAAGGGGGCGGCTATTCTCCATGCCTTCAATATTCAACAAAAGTGCAAAAGTTGGATTGTGTTTGGTACCTTTACATTAAATGTCCCACTGAATTAGAGTACTGTGCCTTCCGTCCCCAGGCACACGCTACGGATCATTAGAATCACACGTACCAAGAGAATAGAAGTACCAAGATGTCATGTTTTATTATTTTTCGCACACTACTATTTACAATAGATCATGCACTAATTTTGAATGCCTTTTTAGCAGCACTTGAAAAATGCGCTGGTTTGAAAAAATTGATAAACTAAGCTGGTCATAAAGAAGGGCAGACGCCTCTTGATTGTATGCATGTGTCCGTACCTAATGCCTACTGATGCTAAGCTGTGTGATATTTGACTGAATGTAATGCACCGCAAGATAAGACTGAGAAATTTTTTACTTTTTTCACGACATGTTAATATGCTTTTCTGCAAACTTTTATGACATCGTATGTCCAGGCTTCTAAAATGTCAAAATGTATCATGTGACAAACAATATTACGCAACCATGCAGTCTAGGATAACTTCTGTATCCTTTCACAACAATATAATGAACAAGATATAAAACCGAACAACAATTAACTAAACATGGAGACTATAAACAGCATCCTGTTTTTAACACATCGTTCTTGGACACACATGGCCAATTACTAGCCACATTTATCCACAATTCGTGTCTCCTGACATATCTCACACTTAATGTCAAACACATCACCCCAAACAAAACGACAATTACATTTAACATCTTCAACCAACACCGTTGTTTTGTAAGCACGTCCACAGCACATCGTAGCACAGCCATCGTGTCCGTTAGACGAATGATTACACGCACGACCAAATGTACCAACAATGCCCATGGAATAATTTGGCTCACAGAAATTCTCAGACTTCTTAAAGAAAACAAGTTTATCTTGTATTTCCTTGCTACCATCTGTTTTTATCTTTCGCGACAATCTCACTCTTTTATAAAGTCTATTATTAGTTTTGTTCCAGAATGAGCGTATTGGATTCTGGTATAGCTTCCAAATCTCCTGACCAACCGTTTCGATCTTGGGAACAGTTCTTCTGCAGAGTTTGTAGTGACAACCCGTTAAAGTTGATTGACAGTCGCACTTTTGTTGCGTGTTTTGACGGACAATCTGTGGAATGAAAAATGATTGTTGATGAAAAATGTTTCAGAAAAAAATTTTGATACCTGTAAGGGAACTCTTTCGCTGTACAATAGACCTTTTTCCTACCGATGTCAAATGCAGAAAGTCTGATGAAGTTTGTTAATTTTTCGGAGCCGATCAAACCTCGCGTTGCATTTGCATCCGCCAATTGACGTCATAATGAAGAAGGTCTATTTCAAATATTTTTTACCAAAGCAATTGCGTTAAGTATGTAAATGTAGCGACCAAGCCTTGCTTACCCTTCTTCCAACGATATGATTATGTCGCTTTACTTTTTTTGAATGAGTATTGGCTCTTTTTGGGTCCATGAAAATCGTGGCCAAATAAGCGCCAAAGTTTATGTTGTCAGAACAACCATGAAGGATCGAGATTTCGTTGTTAATTCGTCGATTCAGTGCACCGCATCCACAGTATTTTGTTCTCTTCATCACGCACGTCTTGGCAACCTCAATCATTACACCAGCCGCAGTCAGAGCTTGTACCAATGCCGTTTCACGAGAGCCTGAAAATTAAATCGCTAAATCCAGCCGCTATACAACAGGCATTTTTGGGCAAGACATCAAAGGAATACCCCCCCCCCTCCCTAAATAATGCTTTTCATTTTCGCTAAACACTTTTATGGGGCGCACAATTTTAAAGAAAGGTTACAGCAGCTTTTGCGCATCCGTTCTTATCGTGACATTGGGGCCGGACTTCATGAATTAGAAATTGACAAATGACAATCCGCCAGAAACTTATGCTTAGTTTGTGATGGACATGAAAGAACGGACTTTACATCATCAGTTCATTTGAATTGTATTCAAAGAAATGAAAATAAGCAAATATCATCTTTCATTCATTCAGTCGTGTGAACTAGACTTACGTTTTCTTAGAATACCACCTTCATTTAGCACCTGTTTATAATTTAGAGGCGAACAGTTCCATCTGTACGAACTAAACTGTCTTCTGCATTCCTCCAGCGCTTGTTTCAAACCTCTCTCGATGACGGGGATCATTTCCGGGAAGCGACGACAAAGATTTTTTCGATATTTATTTAGCCATTTCATTTCTTTGCAGTATGTTTTGTGTCTGATGAATGCTTGTCCTCCAAACTTGGTTTAAAACTTCCGGAAACCAAGGCATGACAAGTGATAAGCAAACTACATAATCGTGCGAAGTAAAATAATTAATATTTTGTATCTATATATATTCTTGTTTTAACAACTTTGAAAAGTTGATCGCAATTAATATTAAACTAAATAGTTCTCTACGAATTAAGAATATCCAGAATCCACATTAATTGGATTAATTTAATCCAAATCTTTGGCGTTGGGTAAGGACATAGGTCAGATTTGGCATTAAAGATTAAATTTGTGGGATTCTGGAAATTGCAGAAAAATGGTTCGCTTGAGGTAATAATTGCATATTCTCCTTTATATTTTAACTGAATAAATTAGACAGCTCAACTTCACTATTCTGATAATAAGGAGGGTTTTAGATCAGTAATTAGTGAGCTTAAGCAAGAGACGTTTTTCACAACACGTACGTTAACCGGAAGTAAAGTTATTGTTTCTCACCAATCACAATCCTTGGCCCAGTCTTTTTACGTTACTCAATGCCGTGCAATTGTCAGTCACTTGATGCAATAGACACTTCCTGAATTTGTTTTCGGGCAATGAAAACCATCCCACTATCAATGGATCACATTGCCCGCCTCGTTTCCAAACTATTTATTGTGTGCACACAAACAAATTCGGGAAGTGTATTAGACTGAAAACGCAAAGTTTTGACCACGCATTTACCCTTGCCATATCATTGAAATCCACGATGTTTCCAGTCCCACTGAACGGATTTCCCATCAAATATCATGGTTGTAATTAATAACATGTGCATGGTCGTTGCCTCGTTGACGTTGTGCAAGTTAAAATATTCTCGGTCACCGGTTACGATTAAGAATTAAATAATCTTAAAATGAATTTGTTCACTTTAAGGCGCTTTTGCACCATGCAATTTTCTTGCAATGGCAATGCAATTAAAATTTTGAGCTATTTTCGTATTGAGGGATTCAAATTTGTAATGAGTGTTCGAAATACTAAGAAAAATGTGAGCAGATCGTAAGAAATGTTCGTATTTGTCAACTTTAGATGCCTTGGGAGAAGAATTGCATTGCAAGTTGCAAGCAACGTTGCATAATATAACACTGGTGGCCTTTAGGTTAGCTTCTTTAAAGACTAAACGAAGCGCCAGAGTAATAAATGTCAGATACTTTAGTTTTTAGCCTCAAGCTAGTATTCTTTGGCTTTCTGAGCCGTTTCCAACCCTGCTTCAAAACAGAATTCGCGACCAAATCTAAACAAGTTAATATGGTACGAACATGCATGTACTATTCTAAACACTTATTCAGTTATTGTTAGTTACAGCATACCTGGCATAACAGAAGAGCACCAAAGCCACTCCAATAATAATCTTTGTAGCCATGTCGATAAATTCTATATGCTAGCAAAATGTTGTGGTATTTTAGCGGTATGTGTACTTTAAACCTCACCTCACGTCGGTCAGAATAAAATAGTTCAATGTCGGTGTCGGTGTACTGTTCTTTCAAAGAATATCCTATACTATATGAGATACATACAAGTTAGCGATTCAAATCTGAACCGTCAAATTTCACAAAGATTTAAAACCCTGAGTTTTATTTATTTTGAGGCATGTCCTCCTAGGATGTCCTGCAAATGGCCTCTCAAAAAAGCCGCCTTTAGAGTTTACAGGGTGTATCAAAAAAAACGCAACCACTTAATATTCATGAATATCCTCTTTGTTCTACAACACAAAAGACGTTTGGCCCCTGGAATGCGAGAAAGCTTGTAATCATATTCTAGCGGCACAATCGTTGGTAAACAAAGTCGGGTGCGTAAACCAACGAGCTGAATTGAAAGTATTTAACGAGTAAAATTTTATTTACAATTTATCTTACAAGGTCGACACTTAGCATTCAAGTTATCATGCACGACAATAAAAACTCGTTGTTCGGTTGTTAGCTGCACCGTTATTAGTTTAGCTGATTTGACCATTAGCAGTTGAACTGTACGATTAGAAGCCATTTTAAAATCCCAGGGGCATAAAATCTTTTGAGCTTATGAACAATATGAATTTTAGAATATTAAGTGGTTGCGTTTTTTTTTATACACCCTGTAGTTTAGGCTTTACTATTCATTCATTCTCGATAATTTGAATAAATTTAAAGTGGCATTGTATTTAACTTCCCTCTTGTCTAAAATTAATTAAACGCGACCAATAAAGCAGGCGCATCGAGTTTATCAGTACAAGAGACTGTTTTATTGCATGATACGATAGACAATCAATCCATGCTGCCGCGCTCTTCAACATATCCCTCAATTCGTTCAACACAATGGATGACTCGTGTTTGCATATAATATGGTGTACTGCATTGAATTGAATTTGCAGCATGTAATTTGACAGTTACACACGACTCACCTGTGCATTAATCACCCAACAGAAGCTTCATTTCAATAGGGAATACTTTTTTATACACCCTGTTATACCTATCTTATCAATTAATTTTGCTATTCTAATAGCAATGCATTTTTATTGGTCATCACCAGTTGAATAACTTTATTCACAAAATGCTTGTTCATGGCAGGAATATAGGCATGTAACAGAGCTAGTAAAAACGGAAACGGATTCCTTTCAGATTTGAATATGCCTCCTAGCGGCTGTAGTATAAACTTTAAATATAAATCTTTTTCGCTTTTTAAAATTGAATACAACCTACGATGTTAAAATTGTAGCCCCTAGCCATTGTTGAATACGTTAAATTGGATGCTTTTGGCATTTCAAGGGATCCAAGTCAGTTAAGTTAACGCCATGAGTTAACGGCAAACGTGAATGTGAAAGCCATAAACCTTTTACTCACCCTGTGTTTGTTTTTAAGGGACCCATTTTTTAAGGTGGCTCCCTACTGTTTCTCGAAATTTTTAGATGCACATTTCAAACGGGGGTATTCAGCATCTAAACGTTTGATTAGAAGACTAAAATTTGATATAACTTTCTGGCAACATATCTAAAGCAGAAATCTATTCAGAACTTGTGCTTGGCAGTCGTTGCTATAGCAACAGAGACGTTTCAAAATGGCCGCTAAAAAGGATTTAATCGAGTTTATATCGCAAACGAGTTCGGTGACCTCCAATTTTTTTTTCAGCAAAATTTTACTCTATAGATGTTTTATCGATAGTAAAGTTTGTAAAAATTTTATAATATGTTATTAGCTCAGTGTCAAAAAAAAGGAATAACATAAATAGCTTCATATTTTTCAACGTTTATGTAGATAGCTGTTTCATTTAAAATCTTAACTCGCTTAATCAGGTCGTCAGGAATGTTCTCAACCCAAACCTACCAAACTACTCTACCAAGAATAAACTGAACTGTAAAAATATATTTTAATGAGCGCTGTCGTTGAAAATGAGGTTGAAAAACGAAGCCAGAGTTTCAGAGTACTGCAGTTCAATGAGATTATTTAAGCCGGCCAACTCGGTAAAACCCAGAAAATAAAAAGAAATTAACTCTTACCGATTTACTTAGCTCTTTGAACCTTTAAGTATCGTACGAAAATGTTTTCTTTCATTTCAAAACATTTACAAAACATTCACAACGACAACTCGATGAGGTTGTAAACATTTCAACACAGAGGATATCAGAACAGAGAGGCTCGTCTCTTCCGATTTTATTTTGGCACAGAGGAGATATGGACAGAGGTTTTTTCACACTTTTTTTTTATCAAATTTTCGCCAGGCATATTATATCCTTGGGCTTTCTAAAAAAGATATATTTTATAGCACTTGCCTTACACTACAAAAAAAGTTTGAAACACTTTAGCCAAAGCGTTAAATTTATTTAAATTGCATTTTTACAGGAAAAAATTCCATTTTTCCTTGTTAAAAATGTGCTCGGAGCTTACCAGAAGGGGTAGCGCGTGCGAGTAAACAAGTACGATCGTACTATTGGACCAGGAACTGGTGAAGTATAGATTCAATCTTTCTCTCCAGGATGAAATTTCAAATATCTATGAACCTAGGCAATCTTTCGAACGGTTATGTTAAAATTGTCGTTTTTCTACATTTTCTCGTCTGCAAAGACACTTAAAATGTGCCGAGTTGCACATCTATGTCCTAATCTATGCCGCTGTAGCTGGCGAGAAGCTAGCGTTGCGTGCACCGTGCCACTGTCATTAGAGTCCTTTTTTATGTATGCTGGACAAAGCCTAAACTAATAAATAAAAGATAAGTAATGCCCTAGAGAGAAACGCATTTAACGCAATGGTCCTATAGTCATGAATATATATTGTGTACAAAACAAAGAAAATGCACGACTTTCTGGCTTGAACTCATAGTATGTGAATATTGATAATATTAAAATTTGCCTCCCGCCACAATCTGACATGGCTTGCAAATCTTCTCAAGAATATAAGCACAAACAATTTAACTCCGTAAGTCGATAGAGAATAACGTTTAAGATAGTTGTGTGAAGTTTTATCACGATCTGGTGCGAAATGACGGAGCCTTAGGGCCTGTTTACATGGAGCCAAGTTACCCGGGTAACCGAGTTACTCGCCTTGCCGGGACAAAACGGTACAGTGTTTATATGCAACCGAGTAACTCGGTATTTGTTACGGTACATTGTAATTACATGACGTACTTATTATGTAGGACTCAAAATTTCAAAAAGTTTTTTCAATGGTGGTAAATGAAACGTAAACGCGCATGCGTGTTTAGCGAATATTCTACTCGCCTAGCCGAGTTTCCCGTTGAAAAGTGTTTACATGGTATAACCGAGTAACTCGCCTTGCCGAGAACCCGGCACAGTTTGCCGAGAACTCGGCACGCCGAGTTACTCGGATGCGCCATATAAACAGTGAACCGAGATATCCATACAATATATAGAACAGGCGAGAACTCGGTGCTGCCGAGTAACTCGGTTAGCCGGGTAACTCGGCTCCATGTAAACAGGCCCTTAGCCATTTGAAATTGCTTCAGTTATGCATACTAATATTGAA